CCCTTCCCGGGCGATGCCCTGGGCCGTGCTGGGCGCCGGCAGGTGATTCCCCAGCGTCCGCCGCTCGTGCGATCCGCCGCCGCCGCCGCCATGGGGGACGGGGATGTCAACTCCAACCGGCTCCTCGCCCGCAGCACCGGGGACGCGCAGCTGGACAGGGCGGTCGGGCAATGGCTCAGCTGGGACAAGGTGGGTCCCCGATGGGCGGGGGTGTCTGCGTGCGTGTGCCCTGCCCGGGAGCGGCCGGGGCTGAGCCAGGGGGGGGGCGTGTCTGGGGGCTGCCGGGGGGGGGGGGGCGCGTGTCTGGGGGCTGCCGGGGGGGGCGGCTTCATGCCAGAAGGCAGCACCAGATCCTTTCGTCTGACCCCCTGTAAATCAAAAGCCACAGATCCCCCCCCCCCCCCCCCGCACTAAACCCAGCCACCCGGAATTAGACCCGAGTCTGACCGCCCGCAGGGGTAGACTTATTATGCGCTATAGGCAGCGTGTCTGCCTTGGGGAGTGACTGGATTGCGCAAAAGGGCATCATGCCGTGTTCTCAGATCGCTGGTTATCACATCGTTGGCCGATAGCTCTCCGATGGAAGGTTACATCCCCCCACCCTTGGCAGATTTTATCCCACTAAGGTGCACTTTGCTGTTCCTTAAAAAGTGTATTTCAGTCCCCACTGGATGCTGCTGTCTTGAGACATTTAAAAAACAAACAAACATGACCACTCGGTGTGGGTGTCTTTGTTCCCTCTGAGGACACATTAATTTGGCATTAGTTGGCTTTGCCCTTGGTAATGTGTTTATCCTCCTCATCTCTCTTGTTTTTTGCCAATAAGTGTCAGATCTGGTCTCGGGACATCTCATTCCAGTTCTCCTTCTCCCTTGCCCAGTAACTGATGCTCCTTTTATGAGGTTGTCCGACTGCTCCGGCGGTGATGAGCTGAGCTCTCATGCAACAAGGGAGAGGGGTGAGAGCAGTCATTTGAAAAATATATGGGGGGAGGAATGTGCCATATGAAGATCCTGGAATCACAGATGGGAGTAAACACTATGTTCTGTTGTAATCTGTTTAGCACATAATGCAGCCTATAAGAAGATATTAAGGGGGATGTTGATGATTGGCAATAAATGCATTGATTGGCAGATAAATTACTGAATGCATTGCTTTATGTGGAGAAGCCAACACTTCAATGGTTTCTCTTTTCAGATAAATCCCAGAGAGAATTAATCTGGCCCTAATGTAGAAGGACAACATAAGAAACTCTTTGTGGTGATTTGACAGGTTCTGAGGGGGGCATTCAATATGAAAAAGGCAAAAAATTTAAATAGGCAAACATATTTTTAATGCAATGTGTAACTAACCTAAAGGAATACACTACCATAGAATATAGTGTTGTAAATACTAAAAAGGATTAGGCATCTATATAAATAGGGATAGCATTTACACTTACTCTGTTTAGCCTAAAAAAATAAAGGCTATAATACTTCATGGCACAAGCTCACCACCAGCTGGGGTCAATGAGCCAGAGTATCCAATGGTATTACATAATTAGATGCATTATGGTGTTGGAATGCTTTCATCTGAAGCATTGAGTATTCGCTGTTGTCCCTGATAACAGACTAGATGGCTTATTAATTTGTTTTGATATGAGAGTTCCATTGTTAAGCTTGATCCTGCAAAGACCTGTCTCCTGCTGAAGCCAAAATTGCATACATGTGATAAGCTTGTGTAGGATTTGGCTTGTTTTAGGATATCAAAGCTCTTATAAATTTCATTGATTGTAAGAACTCTTTGTAAAGAGAATATTTTGGCTAGTACTGGATGTAGTCACCTGAAACTTAGCAACTGCTTAATAGCACATGCACAGCTGCTTGGGACAAGAAGTGAAGAATACCTTGTATTGACATTAAAGGAGTTTAAAAACAATATACCGGTAATTATCCATGTTCCTAAAGTATATTTACACTGAATTATGTGAGGCCATTGTAACTTTTTATTTGTCTTGAATCGAGAAAACTAACGTGTAAACATAGACTTACGTCATTCTTTCAACATTAAACATGGAGATTGGAGTTCTAGCATGCTATTTTAAAAATAGAACGAGGCACCAAAAGGGCTGCACAACTATTCCAGTTTTCACAAAACACTAAAATTTAATTCTAGAATGTAGTCGGAATCCAATATTGTGGATTATCTGGCTAATAATTTTTCATGTAGAGATTCATCAATTCTAAAACCAAAAGGGACATTGTGATCATCTAATCTGACCTCCTGTATAACACAGGGCATAGAACTTCCACAAAGTAATTCCTAGGTACATTGTCAGGGGTTAAAAATTGTTTGCTTTTTAAAAAGCTTCCTGTCCTGTGTTACTAAATACCTAACATTAATAATGAATTTTTAAAACATCTAATTTGTGAAGTTTACACTTTTAATTTTAGACAGTGGGAATAAAGTGTCAAAATCACTTGGTTTACACTTGCTTTTTAGGTCAGTTTCACTTTGTGCTAGTGCCTGATTTCCAGAATTCTCATGCAACTGCAGCCCAAAGTGCAACATCTTAAAATCCAAACAGCAGGCCTTATTCAACAAACATCTCATTGAATGAATGTATTTGAACAAAGCATGAAGGTAAAATGTGCAGGATTTTTGGTTCTTGTCTCCTGAAATGATGCTAGATAGAAGAACATTAAAAACAGTTTTTTTAAATACTAAATTTTAATGGGAAAATATTTTGATAAGATTTTTTGCTATTGCAGCTGCGTAGTATGATATCCTTATCAAAAATGAATATAGTGAATTAGATTTTTTAAATTTAGAATCTTTATATGTATGGTCTCTTTTGTTGTTTTTGCTTTTAAACTCCTTAATTATGATAGCTTTCCTTTGGCCAAATGCCAAAGACAAAGCAAAACATGCCTTGCACATACATGATTAATTTACTTCTGCGAAGCTTTCATCCCATAGCATTGTCATTGTAAACAGATACTTGCTGTCTCCATTTTAAAACCAGTTTTTGGAGCCTAATTAATACACAACCCTCAGCCTTTTGGACTGTTATCATTTTAGGTTTTTAATGTACCTGCAACTGCCTGTGGCTAACAGAAACACCCACTTTAGCCATTAATCTGCAATGCCCAAGAGGAACAACAGGAAACCATTTGACTCCAGGCTAAATAGCACTAGCTTGCTAATATTGTCTTTTCCTTTTTTTCCTCTCAGATTAAGAGCTGTAGGATGCTTTCCAAAGAATAACATCACACGTAGGCGTTTGTACAAAGGAAACTTTCACTAATCTAAATTCTGTTTCCATCATGGTTTTCCATTTGTTTCCTTTTCTGCTCATTTACTTTTTCCTCAGTTTCCTCTCTTTTGTCAGGTTTTTGTTGTTGATCCCTGTCTCATATTTCTATTGCTGAGAAATTAGCTCTTTCAAGTTTATAAGGTACAACAGCATCCTGTTTCTCTCTTTCCCCCCCCCCCCCATCTCCTATGCATAGGGGCAGCCAGGGCTCTCAGGAGCCCTCACCCCCTCCTGCACCCCAACCCCTAATTTCATGCACATTCATGGCCTGCCATACGATTTCCATACCCAGATGTGGCCCTCGGGCCAAAAAAATTGCCCACCCCTGCTCTAATGGATGTCTGATTACTTGAGCTCAGTGGAGTAGTCCTAACTTTATCAGTGTTGGCTATATGTGATATTAAGTTCTGGGGGTGGGTAAATGGAGAGTCTCCATAATGGGAATATGGATCTCATTCTGTTCCTGAGAAGAGGGATTATTCTACTGGTGTCAAGCAGCACAAGACTGCAAAGCTGCTATCTGGACAGCAAGTGGCGAAAACTTGCTTGACTTTGTGGTACTGCAGTAATTCTGGATGTGCAGACCCCTGTGAGCAGTCCCATTGATTTCAGTGGGACTCTGCCAGCACAGTGGTGAACTTGCACCGAGCTTATTGCAGAATCGGGCCTTGGTTGGTGGCTATGATCCTTGATGTGGACTGGTAGTGGTGGCTGTGTATACACGGAAGATTATGACAGATGAGCTGTTTCACTTCGAATAGATGCTGCAGTGCAACTGTATTGTAGTTTTCTTCTTTTTGTTGTTGTAAAGTTGCATTTAAAGATAAAACTAAAATAGGGGCATTGATGAAATTGTCTTCTAAAGGCTGACAGTGTAACTAATATAAGATCTTTCTCCTTACAAAACCTTTAAAGCACGCTTCTCCAAGCAACAATGACAAATTGAGCACAACTAATTGTCAGAAGCCAAAGAGAAGAAATATTCTGAAATCACTCCATATGCGTTTCAGTGGCCAAAGAAGATTATTATAAAGTTGAAGGACAAAAATCCTAGCCATAATTCGCTGCAGGTGTATTTTGGGGATAGCAAAAGCATCTCAAAGTGCAAATAAGGCCATAGGGAATTAGCAGTTCAATTAGATAAGAGGCTGTAAGGTAAGGCAATACTTTGGTATTAGTTTCTTAAAACTGAACCTAAGATGTACTGGCAACCAATCTTCAAAAAATTAAAACCGCTACACTGTTAGTATTTGTTAGTGAAGAATCCTTGGTGCTATTTAAGCCAGACTTGTGGAGAGGCTTGAAAAATGCATTACTATGGTCTATTGCACGCTGGAGTGTACAAGTCAACAGATGTCTGCCATGTCAACTTAGGCAAACATGTTGATGCTTTGAATTATTTCTGAGGTAAAAAGGACAAATGTCAAATGATATGTAACAGAGTCCATAAGGATCCCTGGTTAAAAGAACTGCTGTTCTGTGTAGATTCAGGTGATGTAGTGAACTAAAATTGATGTTGAGAACTAATTAGCACTTCATCTCTGAGGACATCTTGTAACAGAAATAGAAAATTTATATTTTTTCTGGGAATGGCTGAGCCATTACAAACATTGAATCTATCTCCCCTTGTAAGTATTCTCACACTTCTTATCAAACTGTCTGTACTGGGCTACCTTGATTATCACTTCAAAAGTTTTTTTT